AGAGGCAGCAGAGAGAGTCTGTTCGGGGTCCTGGCTCGCAGAGGGCTCCTTGGGAAGGATGGCTCGAGAGGAGAAGGAGCTGCATCTCTGGACAAAGGCTGCAATGGCTTCAAAGCGGAGACCACCGCACACCATCTTCCGCTGCACCGGGCAGCTCGGCCAGGCCGGGCTACCGGACAAGCCCCAGCAGGAGCACAGTGGCTCTGAACACAGTGGGAGGTGCATGCCGGGGCGGGGAAGAGCAGCTGCGGCGCCAGGACAATGCTGGCACGAGAACACAGGGGTTCATGCTGGCCTTGGGGAAGGCTGGGCTGGGAGTGAGCATGTGCCCGTGCGTCAGGGCTGGCAGCTTGAGGAGCTGCATCCTGGGACAGAAACCAGCCTGGCATAACTAGGGCTTGCGTGACGTGGGACCCCCTGCATGGTGAGCCAGGGGGACCCTGTTGGGCCCTCTCCTTCGCACCCAGGCAGAACCGCCCAGCAGACACCCCGGCTCCTTCCCATCCGGCCCCAGCCAGCAAGCACACAGTGGTGCTGCCTGCCACGGGGAGCAGAGCAACGGTGCACGGCAGAAGCTCCTGGGGAATGGGCCCGCCCAGCCCAGGATGGGCCACAGCTCCCAGAGCTGCTCGGCAGCACTAGCACAGACTTGCTCCTGCAAGCACCCGGCCCGCGCCCAGCCCTGGGGAGGAGGGGCCTGGCTGCCAGCTCAGCCATGCCTGCCCTGTGCCAAGCAAGGGGGATGTGGAGGCAGGGGCCCCGCTGGCCCCCGGGACGTTCCCAGCCGCCTGCCAGATGTTCCACGAGCGCCGCATCCAGAGGAGCGTTTCCCCTGACAGCTCTGGCTGGGAACGCGATTCCATCCAGCTGCAGGATCCACATTGCACCGGGGCCTCCCCTGGGATGCTCCGAGCCTGCCGGCTGCAGCTGTGCGGCCCCGGCGAGGCAGGGCGTGGGAGCGGGGGAGATGGGGCCAGAAACAGTTGGGGCGCCAGCGTCCAAATAGCTCTGCTGCTCCTCTCCGAGCTCCAGCTCCGTGCTTGCTTCTCCACAGGCCTGGAACAAGCCCTGTGATCCTGGCACGTGGCGCCAGTGACTCACCCTCTGCGCTCGCAGAGCCAGGCTGGAGCACACCCATTGGCAGCTGCAAGGGAGCTCCTGGGGGGCTGTGGGGCACTCGCGTCGGTGCCGACCGGTCATCCATGGCCAGTGGCCAAAGCAGAAGCATCAGGATCGTAAAGAACGTGACTTTACGCGGCGGCTGGGGCACATCCCGAGAGCTAAGAGCAGCCTCCGCTGTGGTCCACCAGCCCGCTGCTGTGAATACCACCACCAAAACAGGCACATGCCAGCCCATCAGTTGCTCACAGCTTGGCCTGAGGGAGAGATCTGTGTGCCTCAGTTTCCCCTTGAACAACTGCAGCTTTGCAATGGCAGACAGGGGACAGGCACTAGAGGGGCACAGGCCTGGGCACCACTTGCTTGGTTACAGCAGCATCATTGCTCCCCTCCCCTCTCCACCCTGGCAGCAGTTGCACCGTGGCTCGACCCATACCTGGTGGCCAAGAGGGGGTAGCTGTGGCACGGCGATGCCCAGGCATCTCTGGTCCATGGCATGGAGTCGTAGAGCAGCAGGTCCTTCTCTGTCATGGCCATGAGGACTGGCCGCCACTGCTGCCTTCCCCCGTCCAGCCTGGCCTGCAAGAAGGGGCAGGGGTTGGTACTGCAGGGTGCAGGAGCCGGGGGCACTGCCTGCCAGGGACTGTGGGGCCCTGGGGGCGGGCAGGGACATCTGCGCTGATCCGGGGTCAAGCAGGCTGGCAAGATCTCCCGCAGGCAGGGAGCCCAGCCACCTGCTGCTCCCAGGACGACCAGCCCAAGCAAGTATTGCCAAGGTCTGGCAGGACGGGGAAGACAAGCAGGGATGGCTTTAACACCTCTGTGACCAGAGCAGCCCCACTGCCAGGGCTGACAGGTGCTGCTGGGAGCATCTGACCGCGGGAGAGGCCGGGCAGGGGGACGCCGTACCTGCTCCGCCAGCCAGGCGACATGCTTGACCTCCTTGCTGCTGCCCGTAGCGTTGCTGGTACCCAGCGTGGCGTTGAGCTCGGCCAGGACCTGCGGCAGGAGTGCCACGATGTTGGCATGGATGGCTGTGAACCAGGCGTGGGCCGTGGCCGTGTCCTTGCAGCGGAGGATCAGCGTGTTGCGGCTGTCTGGGGAGTGCAGCTCGATCAGCCTGTGGAGGGGGAGAAATGCCTGTGGCGTCAGACCCTGGGCCTGAACTTCCACCCGGGTCTCCCCTCCGCCGGGCAGCACCCAGCACCACTCGCACAGACTGTACCTGGGGCCAAGGGAAGGGAGAAGCCGGCTCCTCTGCACAACAAAACTGGGACCAGGCTGCAGGCTCTCCCATCTGAGAGACCCCCCACCCCCAGATGGGGAATGCGTGGCCTGCTCACAGCCGGCCGGACAGCCCCGCTTGGCTAGCTGCAGAGGGGGCATCAGCCCCAAGCAGCCCAAAGGATGAGACTGCAGCCTTCAGCAGCTGTGTGGCAGCCGGAGCCGGGGGCACCGCGCGCACGCACCCCACCCAGGCAGCCCCTCGCAACCCAGGGCTGCAGCGAGCGCCTCCGCAGCAGGCAGCGGCTCTGGCAGCGCGCCAGGACCCAGCACGCGACAGCAGCCCGGGGACCCAGACGCTCCCTCCCCCATGCCGCTCCCTGGCTCGGCACAGCTGTCGAGCTCTCGGCCCTGCTCTTTGTGCTGACGCAGCGTTTCCTCCTGGCTACGCGGCCCCGCGCCCACCCTCCCTCGCTGCAGCCAGCGCCGGCGGCCCGGGACGTCCCCACGCTGTGCAAGCCTGCAGTGCCAAGGACTCCCGGGCCTGTCCTGGCCCAAAGCCCAGCTGCATGTTGCCAGCCCCCTTGGCTGCCCCTTCCCCTGCAGCGACGGGGTTGCCCCCCTTCATGCTGGACGATGGGAAAACTGAGACCTCGGCCCCACGGCGCACGCTTGCAACACGGCTTCTCAGACCCCGTCCAAGCAGCAAGAGGCAGGGGCTGTTCAGTGTCCCCCTGCCCTGCTCTAGACATCGGCATCTTCCTGGCCCGGCCGCTTCGGTGTCAGAGCCGACACTGCCCCTCGTGCACATAGTCACCCACAGGGCCGAGCCCGCAGCACGCGGGCGGGGATGGAGTGAATTGGGGCTGGCCGCAGCTCGGACCAGTTCAGTGTCCGAGGTAAAGGCTGCGGCCAGACGAAGTGACCCACTCCAAGCACCACAGACAAGCTCTTCCCCCTGGGCACCTGGAGCCTGCCGGAGCGGTTTGGGAGCAGCCAAACCTGCCTCCTTGCAGGGCTCAGATGAGCCAGCCCGTTGTCCTCCACCCAGCCCAAGGATTTCTGTTTCTCGGGTGCTCGAGCCCAGGCCTTGGATCAGCCTGGCCAGCCTGAGCCCGTGGGAGCTGCCTGGGGACAACATGGGGCCCTGAAGACTTTGGGCGCTCTGGTTTCTCAGCGAGAGGGAGCCTGGGGCTTGGTGCAGAGGTGGCAGAGGTGCAAGCCAAGGGGAAGCTGTTACCGCAGGCAGTGAGTCATTTCCTCCCTGCTTGGTGCTGCACCGCAGGCCCCGTTCTGCTGCTGCTTGCGTGCGTTTCCTGGGCGAGCAGGGGAGCGCCGCTTGGCCAAGACACTCGGCAGCCGGCCGGGGGGTGCACAACATGCGCCAAGCCGGTTCCCCCCACGCTGCCCGATCTGGGCACCTCTGCTCGGCAGCACCACAGAGTGGCACCCGGCTGCCAGCCCCAACCCCAGGGTCTGCGGGCTGCAGCTCTCAGGCCCTGGGGAGGGGGTCTGGACATGAGCACAGGAGGGATCACAGCCAGGTGCTCTTGCCATGGGGTGTTAACCCTGAACCCTAATGACATCCAACATGCTGCTGCCCCGTGCCAGCGCTCTAGCAGGACGACCCAGCTGCTCCAGAGCTGCGGGCTGGGCGGGGGCGACCTTCCAAGGCTGCACCTCCGCAGCCATGAGCCGAGCACAGGCACCGGGAAGGAGATTGCTGCAGGAAGACCTGCAATCCAGGCCATCCCCTCCCACCCCAAGCACTTGGCTGCTGAGCACCACCTGGCTGGGAGGCAGCAGGCTGGGGCTGGGGCGGTGGAGTGGGGAAGGGACACGGCGTGGGACGCTCTGGCCACACGCCAAGCCACCAAGCATTTCCTGAGAGCTGCACTGACGATCCACTGGGTGAATCAGGAGGCGAGAGCAGCCCCGGCCCCAGTGGTCTGTTTTCAGCTGCTCGGCAGAGATGCGGGCCGAGTCCCTGCGCCAGCCCCTGCACGGGCTGGTGGAAGGGCAGTCCTCCCGCTGCAGGCCGTGCGTAGTGCAGGACCAGAGCCCGCATCTCTGCAGAGACAGCTCAGCCGGCGGGTTACCCAGGCATCTGGCAACACCCAGTGCTTCCCGACACACCCCGGGGAGGGCGGCCCGTCTGTCAGCAGTGACACGTAACCCACGCCTGGCAGAGCAGGGGGCCCTGCAGACAGGCCCGTTTGCTGCCGCGACGCTTCCCGACGGGGCCTGCCCCCGACCCCCGCGTAGACGCAGGCTGTGCCACCAGCCATTCCCCCTGTCCAGGCACCGGCCTCCGCCGTGCCCCCGGCTGCCAGCCCGCTCACCTGTTCTCCAGGTCGGGCATGCTCAGGTTTCGAGCTACGTAGCACATCTTGAGGGGGATCACCTTGCGGTCCCGGGCACCGGTGTGGTGCTGGGGGGAGCCCGAGTCCTCGCTGCCACTCAGGCTCGGGGACTGGGGGGCGGCCCCGTCCCAGGGCAAGTCCGATACCAGCGATGGCCTCTTGATGTAGGGGGTCACCTCCTGCATGTACTTCACTGCGAATGAGAAGGGAGAGGGCAAGGCGTGAGTGATCAACCCGTGCCCCCTCCACTGATCCTAGCCCCCCTCCAGCCTGGCAAGGGCAGCACCAGCCCCAGGACCAGCGGGTTTACAACGTAGGAGACCGATGGGGCTCCCAGGGACTCGGCTTTGACCCAGGACCCCCTCTCTGGGCTTGGCGGAAGAGCCCTGCGAGCCAACGCGGACAGCCCCTCTGCATGCAGCATGCATGGCTCCCCTTGCGGGGAGCACAGGCAAAGCCACCACCCAGCCCACGCCAGCGCTGGGGGTTTCACAGCAACCCTTCCTGCTCCTGCCTACTTGCCCCAGTGGCCTGGCAGCACATCCCCCAGATGGTGTCTGGATAAAGGCAACGCATTACACATACCCCCTGCCCCTGACTGCCATCCTGTACATGCACATGGGCAACAGGAGGTCTGGACAACCCCAGAGCATCCTGCGGCAGCTGTCCGGACCTTAGAGCTGCTGCCCATGCGGGGGCCCAGCCATGCCCTACGTCTTGCTGCGACCTGCACTGGGACCCGGCAGCTCCTGGTGCTCCCATGACATGTGGTGCAAGGCAGGCAGCGAGCTCCTTTTCAGCCCCTAGCTTCCTTGCCCGGCTGGGAAACAAGCTCCAGAGCCTTCTGCCTCCCAGGGTCATGCCCCAGCCATGGACGCTTGCGGCCAGTGGGGTTACAAACGGGGACAGCCACGTTTAGCAACGCGCGGAGGCCAAGACCAAGACGAAGGGCTGCAGCACGGGGAGTGTGGAGTTGGGCAGCGCCTGCCACCAGGCTCCTTGCAAATGCAGGCAAGACCAGCCCGGCCCCCTCCCCTCTGCTTCAGTGCTCCGGGGCCGGAGGAGCGAGCGCGAACCGTCCAGGCCGAGACACGCGCTGGTTATTCATTGTGGCCACAGAGCTGTCGTCAGCTGGTTCCCAGAAACCACCGGCTCCTTCCCACAGCACAGTTAAAACCCCATGAGCTCTCCGTCCCCGCTGCCATCTCCAACCCGGAGCTCCCTGCAAGTGTGGACACGTCCCGGGAGGGCGCCTCTGGGGTCCCTCCCTGGGCACACAGCCCTGCTCCAGGCTTTCTGGGCTCCACGTGCTGGGGAGCCCCTGTGAAGCGTGGCACTACCTAAGACAGCAAACAGACACGCTGCTTCTGGGCTGCTGCGGGCTTCAGGCAAGCTGGGGGCAGTCTGGACTGGCAGCACCCCCATTACCCCAGGCGGGGGGGTAACAGCACCGGGCACCCGCTGTCCTGCAGAACAGCAGAGACCCGTGCGACGCCGGCTGCCGAGCGGGCTGGAAGCGCTGGTCGCTCCTGGAGGAGCCTGTCACGGGCAGCGCACGGGCCCACGGCGTGGAGCAGAGCCAGGCAGCGCCTCCGCCCCAGAGATGGCCCCGACAGCTCATCCCAGCTCGAGCGGAAAGACAAGAGCAGGCAGCACAATGGAGGCGGTCGGGGTCAGCGGCCACCCATCCTGCACTGCTGCGGCCCAGCTGCGGAAACACGGCGCTGTCCAACTTCCCACCGCTCGCTCGGCCTCCGAGCTGCCGGGAAACAGCCGCCCGGGGGTTTCTCGCCAAGGCGGGGGTGTTTCTCGCCATGGCAGCGCGGCTCCAAGCACTTCGGGTGTCAGGAGGGGGAGGCGGAGGGGGCGCTACCCGTACTTGCTTCCCTGGAAGCTGTGACTCAGCAGCACGGCCGAGCACCTTCACGGGTGACTGGGCACAGGCGGGACGTGCCCACGTGCGGGCAGCCGCTGCGGAGCTGGCTCGCCGGGGCAGCAGGTCGGTGCCGGAGGCTGGGCTGTCTACACTAGGGTGGCTGAATCAGTGCAAGGAGAAGACCCTCGTCACTGGTTTCCTAACCCCCCTTCCCCCAAAAGACTTAGCGAACACCCCCGAGCAAAGGGCTTTCAACTGCAAGCCGGGGCAGCCTCAAGCCTACTGCAGCCCAGTCCCAACAGGCCACAGCCTCTGCTTTGGGAGCAGACGTGCAGCCCCTGCGCGTGCTGGGCTGCCCGGACCCGCGGCCAAGGCACCAAGCAACGCTTCTCCAGCCCCGAGGCCAGGAAGCATCTCCTCCGCAGGTACCACCGCTGGGACGAGCGTGGCCAAGCCCGCGCCACCCCACGGCACGGTGCCCCCCTTCCTGCTCCCAACCCCGAGGCTCGGGCAGTGGCTGCCCCGACCTGCCTCCGCACGCGCCTTGGCCCACGCTCGGGGCTGAAGGGAGCGAGGGGTCCACGGCTCTAGCAGGAGGCTGCCGGGCTGTATCCGACACACTCGACCCCCAGGCCTCTACTCGCTCCGTGCTTCAAGATCAAACAGCAAGCAAAGGTGATGGGGCCAGAGCCCTCGGATGCCAGCCTGGTACTGCCCCAGCTCTGTTCCCAGCGTTCCCCCAGCCCGCTGCTGGGAGACGGGCTTCCCGCGTCCCCACGGGCCGCAACTCAGTCCCACGCCCTGCCACCCCCGCCCTGGAGACGTGGGGTATCCTCGCCCACCTCCTCGGGGAGAGGCCGGCGGGGCCACCCACAGGACCGGGGCTGGGGGAAGCCGTGGAACGGAGCCTGCGAAGGAAAGTCTCATCTGGTTAATCCCACCACGAACGAAGGCCCCTGCCCGGCGCCCCAGGCGGACTGGCTCCGCTGAGCGGTGCAGCTGGATGGAGACCCCGTGCCGCAGCGAGAAGCCTGCCCTTGCAGACAACACCAGGTTAATATTAGCCTCCCGCCACGCTGATCCCGGGATTAGGCTCGCCCCAGGCACCTAATCCTCCTCTCCCTGCTGGGGACAGGCCGGCGGCACAGGGTGACAGGGGGACGCTGGGGAGCCTCGGTCGAGACAGGACGGGAGGAAGGCAATCCAGAGCCGGCCTGCAAGGAGGGACGGCCACGCAGCTGGCAGCCAGATGTGCGCAGCGTGTTCGCCGCCCTGGCAGGGTTGGAGCGATTCACCGCCAGGGGCGAGGCATCAGCCTCCGTGCCAGAGATCAGGGCTGAGCTCTCCAGAAGGGAGAGCCAAGGAGCAGTGGACTCCCGGCAGTCAGTCCTTTCCCAGCCCAATACGGCGGGACGGCGCGTGCGCGGCCAGGACACCTGTGCACCTCGAAGCACTGGCCAGCGCGCTGTGTCCTGGAGAGCGGAGAGCCGCAGCCGGGGCTGGGGAAAGGGCCCGAGGCAAAGCAGCAGTCAAGCCAACCTGAGCAACGCGCCACTTGCTCTGGGAGCCGAGAGCCCAGGTTTCACCGGATAAATTGGCCTCAGGACAATGGGAGGCATCGCCTCTGCAGCCGGAAACCTGGAGCCTCCCTGGCTGCAGCTCTCGCCCAGCAAACATGAGCTGAGCGGCCGCCAGGAACAGGCCGTGGCACGCGGCCGGATCGGGAAGGAGGGGAAGGAGAGGAGTCAGAGCTGTCACCAGCGCGGCCAAGAACAGCCGGCCGGAGACGTGCATGAAGAGCCTGAAACAATGCGAAACGCCCAGCCGGGACTCGCCGCTTGCCAGAGCCCCCTTCCTCGGGCGGGAGGGGACCTCTGACGTGGGGGAAAGCTTGCGTCCCAGCCAGCTCGGCTGTCAGGATCACAGCTGGGCCCCAGCCGTGGGCCGCGGCCAGGCAGAAAGTCTGACCCCGATGATTCATGTGCAGCTCGAGGAAGCGCCGCTGCACAGCGCCTCGTGGCTGAAGGGGTGGGATGGGGAGCCGAGACGGTGGGCCAGAGAGCGCAGCGGCGCAGGGCCCCGGGAACGGGCCGCGTCCCCCTCCTGCCCAGGCAGCCCCGGACGTGCAGGGGCGATTGCACCCGTTCTCTTCGCACGCGCTCGGGACAAGCCAAAACCTGCGTCAGGGCAGCTGCTGCCTCTTGCTTTCTATCCCCGCTGCTTCCCGGAGCCTGGCCCTGGGGAGATGCCCGCCGCGTGAGCGGCGCTGGGGTGAACGGGCGCAGACAACTGGCTAAGCCTGGACTTCTGGCACTTGCGAGAGCCCAAATAATTTGGAAAGGGTTGGGCCCTGGCAAGGTGACAGCCGAGAGCCACCACGGACAAGCGGAGCCATTCCCAGAGCGTCACGGGGCCCAGCAAGGTGCCGGCGGCCGTCTCCGCGCAGCCCGGGGCCCTGACCGAGGCAGGGCAGTGGCCGGCTTTCTCTCCCGAGCCCTGTGCTACTGAGCTAGCACTTCCTGGCCCAAACCTCTGCGCCTGGCTCGGGAAAGCAGAGCAGCTGCCAGTAAAGGTGGAGGCTAGCGTGGAGACCGGCCCACACCCTCGCCAGCGCCCGATCTCTGCCAGCACCGCGCTCTCGCTAATGCACTTCCAGCGCCCTGGGGAGCGGGAACGGCGCCCTGCCGTCAGATCTGCTCCGAAACCCCAGCACTCCTCAGACAGCCCCCGAAGCACACGCGCCTGTCAGCCCCTCGCTGTGCAAGCACGTGGCTCTCGGGATCAGGCCCGTGGCTGCGAAGGGGACAGAGGAAGGCCTGGGGCTGCTACAGGGATGGGGCAGAGCCCCCCAGCCCGTGCTCCAGCTCACGGCGTGTTGGCAGGGAGCAAACGGTAATCCCAGGGAACAGGAAGTGCCACGTGTGGCCCGCCAACCTGCTCGGACCTTTGTGCCCCGATGAGCTGGAAGCTGCCTTAGTGCAGGGACTTTAACCCGTAGGTGCATTAGGCCTGTAATCCTCACCTGCGGGGAGCCACTGCTCGGGCCTGCCACAGCCCCGGGGGCTTGTTCACTGGCTGCCTGGCAGCTGGCCCGTGGCTACGGGCAGGAAAGATCCACGGCCAGCCACCGCCCAGACCCACCCTGGTTGGTTTCCTAGTAGCTCGGGTCAGGAGGGACCTGAGCAGATCATCTCGCCTGACCCCCTGCCACAGGCAGGAATGGATGCCGGGGTCGCAAA